GAGCTGTAGCAGCGATGACATGCACATAATTGAGCATGGGTGGATCGGACACAGCAGACGACAGACTGTGGCTGTGCCGGCGACGCGAAAATTCAGATCCCGTTCTAGTGGGTGGATCAAACGTCCCAGTAGTTGTTCCTGTGGGTGACCGCGTTGGGTTGACGGAACTCAGGTTCTGTGGTGCCGCANAGCATCGCTTGTACAATCACTACCCGTACTCGTGCTGGTTGAGAATCCCAAGATGCTGGCAGCAGAAGAGCCGGCAGACGTTGTCTCTTCGACCCGGGATGTGGGTAACTGATGATAGGAAGCGCCAAGGCTGAGCTCAGTATTGGCATTTACAGAACTGGCAGGACTGGGTCGCAGGTCTACAATGGCGTAATTCCGACTAGGGTCTCGTACCTGTGTGTGTACAAAGGACATGGAAGGAAAAGTGAGTAATCACCAAATGCGCATGGTTGTTATCTAAACAAATGTTTTAAGGCTTATGTCGTGAAATGCGCGTGTCTGGGACCACACATAATGAGATCTCTGCAATGTTCTTGAGCTAATTATGTGCCTCCCCCTTCCCTTCTTCACATATACATTTGAATGAATTCCTTTGTGATGAGACAGTACACAGCGCCGCCACCGCCACTCAAATTTGGTTATAGGCGGCTTGGCTGTCGTCCGGTTCTATACCGCGCGCAACCTAGCAGAGCTTTATGCGGTTCGCCAATTCAAGTGCTGGGGCTAGGGCTCTCGGCTTCTACCACTGAACAGTGGGCCCTCGTGAGTATGAGGCTTTCTCCACCTGCTGTTTATCACATCAAGGTGGGAAATAAAGACCCTGGTAGTTATACATTCAAACGAACCTAATCACTGCAAAAAGGTGTTTGCGATGTCGTCATTGACCATGTAGCTCAGGAGCAGGAGTACCAACCCGAAAGCTAGTGGCTATAGTTTCAGACAGAACACAAATAACACGCTGTGCTGAAAAGACCGTTGGATGAACATAAAAGAGAAACGACGGAAATGGATGCATATTAACTCCATTCTTCAGTCTATCAAATTAACGCAGAAAATCGTCTGTCCTTTTTATCTTCAATAAAATACCAAAAGTTGGTGATTCGTCTGACCATAAAACCTGAGGTTGTAAATACCTGAAAAGTAGTTCTTCCAACCCATTGTCTCAATGATAGCAAAATGAACAGCATGGAAAACTCCAAACGCAATTAAATAAATAGTAAATCAAAATCGACAAGCACTGGGTGAATAGATCGCTAATACACTTCTAGTGTATGCCAATAGGGGAATCGCTGATTGATACACCGAACGACATATAAGAGGTTGAAAGCACTTAGAGTAATTGAACACCCTATAATTTTCAGCTCAATGATTTGTGTAGCGAGGATTTGGTAGACATCAATGACCGGTGAATTCTTCGTAACCACAAAATAAACATGCGCTCATTTCCATTCGAGCTTTGTGAATGACTACTTTCCGGGAGTGTAACAGCTCATCATTCGACAAAGGATCCACCTCACATAAAATTCACAACTCGTAGAGAAATGGTATCACTCTGAATCTGTACGCTCGTCATCTTCCTACTAAGAGCAAGCCATACAGTAGAGCTTGTTCCTTTATTTACATATATATATTTGAAACACTGGGTCCCCTTTATCAATCGTATCAAGACTCCACGGCTGTGGAGTTGACCTATTTGTATGTATGTATACAGGCTTAGGTGCTTGAACAACAAAACAAATTCAACCCACTAATAACCTGTTTGGTTGAACTCACCTCTGCCGGTACTGAGAACAAGTTTGTCGTTAGACCACCGATGGATGCAGTTGATTGGCCAGTCGTGGACGGTCCGCTTGATTTCGGAGTTATTGAACTGGTGGTTGTATCCAAACTGATTCGGTTGGCTCGTCCCTTACCACGACTACCGGGAGCACGGATACTCACCTCGGAGCCCTTAGACGACGTTCGCGAGTCTGAACTGGCACCGATCGACCCCGAGCCCGCACCACCAACACCAGTATTGCCGACACTTCCACCACCGCCACTACTACTGCTGCTACCGCTTGGATGGTGGAGAGAATGGACCAGATGCTTGAATCTGGCCGTTAGCGAAGTGGTCGCAGTGGATGAAGTGGTGACGGAATTAGAGAGTGTGGATGCGGTGGAAGAAGGGTTGTGTGGGGAATGTGCAGCACTCGCCGGATTGGGCCAGTTTGATGGTAGATTGATGTAACAATTGTCAGTGTTGGATTTAATGTCGGTGTCAATCGTGGTCAGTGGACTGAGGCCGGGTTTGCACGAGGTAAGCTCGCTGGTGTGCACATCTGGGCTGATTCCACGCTGCCCGGTCATTAGGTTGCAATAGGTCGGCTGTATTATTGCCGTCAAAAGAGGTGCAGAAGGGAAGATATTCTCATTTTAGTGCCTCAACGGAGCGCAGGGAATATCGAAAACATGCTGACCAAGTCACAACATCTTATATACTAAGAAACAATGGGTGGACAACAGAAAGTCGCACAGTGGGCAGTGGAAATAACATGACAACACAGTGGTCGTTTCTACCTGGTTTAACACCATATTATTTGTTTGTTGACTGGAGAGGAGTATTTAAGGCCGTTCACACGGCTTTCAAAACAAGGACACCACGGATTTTGATCGTGAACAAAAAAATTAACCGTAATCGGGCACGCGGGAATGAACTGACGACGCTGCCGTCTTGAACTTAATAATCTAGGTAAACCAAGGTATCGGTTACATTATACTGATTACCAACAATGGTGATGGCTGTGGAAAGCATCCTGTCATGCGTAAATTTGGCCCGTTATTACATGAAACTGACAGCATCCACCCGGAGGCCAATAATTGGGTGTGCAAGAGTTAGATGCTCGTTTTATAAGGCGCTAGCCTCGTTGAAACAGAAGCTTTATAGGCGGTGTCATGTAATCAATCCTCCGACAGAAGCAAAAGTACGAAACTGCACTTAAGCTCAGGGCAAATGAAAAGGAGTTAGACGTCAAGGGGCTTTTCGTCACTTTTTCAAGATCTTCGAGAAGATCAAGTAGTAGTAGCCCCAGACAGCCTTTGTATGGCCGCAGCCCCCGTCCTGAAAGTTGGCTGTACATTTGTACATTCAATAAATAGAAAAAGAAAGTAAAAAGACATTTCATTTCGTTTCAAGAAGTTGGTAAGGTCGCCGTAAGTACATAATTCTGGTCGAGTGAGGGTCTATAGAGAACTAAGCGGCACTTTCGTCACCAGCAGCAGTTTCACCAGTACTGTTTAGCTTCGTCGTAGATGAAAAGATGTTTGTAGTTAATTGGCAGCTACGGAGAAACTGTGAGAGTTACGATACGCTGAATACATGGTCTGCATATTTGATCGTACAGAGAAGAAGTAAAGAATATTAGTCTTTCCTTTAGGTGGGCGCTTTTCACATTCAAAGTGCAAATGTACATCAAACAACGCTGTTTTGGAACTAGATTATCAGAAATTAGTGCAAGTTCACTGCCTCTTCTGGCTAGGAAGTTGCGTGACCGATGAGGATCGTGCAGTAAGGGAGGACACCTTAGGCTTTTCGAAACCTGGAGCGGCGTACGCAAGGCTGAGCCACATTTGGCGTCAACGTGACGTAACACAGAAGCTAAAAGGTTGTGTAGTGCGTTCAGTTCTACTTTACGCTTGTGAAACCTTGAATTGGCGTCTAGAGATTATTCGACCGTAGGTTTTCGACAATTTGTGTTCCCGTACTGTTAAACAAAAAAGCTTGTTGTTAAGTCGTACCTCATTCAATCGCTTTATCATTGTCAGTAGCATCCAGCTGTCCGTGAAGCTGCGAGTAGCTGACTAGGCACTTGGACTTTCGGTTACACAAATATCTAGTCAATACAAGCACTCATTTAGGCGAAATGAAACCATCGACAGAGTGGAAAGACCATGGCTAGCAATGATAGGTTAAAACCGGCTAATACAATTGTTACAATCAGTAAAACAATATTTTCCATGAATTCGTTAGTAGGCCAAATTTTAGTGGGGAAGCTGTTTCTTTTTGTTGGGATTCGAACAAACGACTCCTAGAGTGGTCTGTTAAAAATGGTTACTTGGTCACAGCTGTTGATCAGGACATTCGAAAAATATTTTTACGTGTTCATCCAGTAGATGGGGGAAAGCACGATGCATAAAAGAATCCTGTTTTGCTCATTAAACTCTACATGAGATGACCAACAGTTTTGTTGCAAAAAGTAACATCAACGTAATCTTTCACCACCCAATCGTAATAATAGTTGAGTATGACTCACCATTTCGGTGGTCAAACGGTCGACCGGCGTGAACTTGCCCACCACGTCATCAACGAGATGACCGACGACGCCAGCATCCGACTGAGAAGACAGTTTTCGTCCGCAGCTCCCCAATCCAACAGCGGGACAAGCAGATGCAATACTATTACTGCTGCTCGAAGCCATTGTGTTGTACCGCGTGTATCTCCGGGTACCGACAGAGGCAGAACCAGCCCGATTCAACAGACGATCTAGTCCGGACGACCCACCGCCAGCACTGGCTATGGATCGAGTAGAATGAGGTTGTGGTGCACCGGCTCGACGCATCAAACCATCCAGAAGCTCATCCTCCGCTTCTTCCAGTTCGACTTCGTCAACCGAGTCATGATGTCCACCAGGATTGGTCACGTCAGTCCGGTCAGATCGACTACGTAGAAGAACTTTCGTACTAGGCAAAGTGCTAGCCCTTTGACAGTAGGTCATTGAATGGTGCGCAGCCGGGGGAGTGTAGAACTTATCTAAACGGGACGAATCACTCGGAGAGGTTAGTGGATGTGGGTGCAATGTCCCCGGCTCTGTTGGATTGCACAAAGAAAGGGTCCGACGATCCGTATTGGTAGGCTTTTCCATGTCACCCGGGTGCTGAGAATTGGGGTACGCCGAACCACTGTCGGGATAAATTGAGGAATGTGGATCAGAACTCATACCGGTTGGAAGGCCACTACCTTGTCCGGGGGAACAGCAATCCACAAACAGATTGTGGTGAGGTGGTGGATGTGTTCGCTCATTTACAGCATTCCCAGTTCGTGATCCAGACGAATCGATTCGGGAATGTTCGTGAGCAAAACAGCACTCGTCGCATACGGACCCGGACGAGAGGTCATCTGTGTCACACAATGAACAACTTCGGGTTTCCGCGATTAGGTCGACGGAACCGCGAGGCAGGACGGTTGATTCGTTTACCGCCTGACCGGGTTGCACAACCGCAGTCTTTCCATCGGATTTCCGCTGTGAGGAGGGCATAGCAGAATCACCTGTGGAGAGTGGGGCTTGATGACAGGCGGATAGCGAGCTTGAGGCAGAAAACGACCGACAAGTGAGTAGGGATGAGAGAGAGGAATGATGGGATCGGGTATCGAGCACCACGGGCCAAAAGGAACAGGACACGGAAGGCTCCGAACAAGCCAAAACTACCGAGTGCAACGAACGAGAGTGATGCTCGCAACGCCAACGATTGTGCTTGGGGGAGGAGGATGCGGAGGTGGCGGTAGCAGGAAGTTGGCAAGCACCGGGACGTGATATGATCTGAAACGATGGAGAACGAAACATAGGGAGGTAGTCAAATGAGCAACAAAAAACAGTTTAAAACTAAAGCACAAATCACCTATGGGAGACAGTGAGTTAGGCTCGGACACCTTTCCAATATTAGATTTACGAACATAGACACCAAGTTCTGCAAGTGCGGTGGAGCACTAACCATTTTTATTGACCGTTTCAAAAGTAACAAGGTAATGAAAGGTTGGACAGTTTGGATTAACCTTGCCAAAAAGTATTTTTGGTCTTTTCATATTGATGATAGTTATCACTGTGATCCGTAACTTGTTATTTTAGTCTTTATACAGACAACGTAAGCGACCAGGGAGTACAAAAAACAATTCAGAATACGTAGGATCGACCCATTTTCCCAAACTTTGTCACTAAATTTGCTGTGAAAACTGCTTCTGGGTCGTCTAAATCATTACGTGTGCGGAAGTTATCGATGTTCAACTTCGGCGAAAGACATTTTGTTGTAGAACGCACATAAGATTCATAGTAGATCGGACAATAAGTCATACGAGAAAATTCCAAAGCGAGACTAAACACGGCTACAACCGGAGACCAAGGGAAGAATCGGCACTGTGTGTGTTTGTGTGTGGATGAAGTAGGAAAGTAAAAATGGGGCAATATGTTAGCCTGGATGACAGATGAAAATTTTCACTGACTGGAAAGCTAAGAGACAAAAAAGAAATTATGAGATGAGATGAAAACAAACACTGTCACTTCTCGTTTATTCTTATCGATATGCCATCAGATCTGCATTTTATAGTATGGCTTTCTTACAAAATGCCATCATAGCTGCTTATAATTAGTGATCAATCAGGTGTGCACATACACACGTTTCTTTTCTGCCGTCCAGCATTCGAGTACCACAGTACACGATTTAAACGCAAGGATGGGGGACAATCTAATTCAGACTCACCGGCCCGTCGCTTGGAGGATGCCTCTGGTCTGAGGCACATCCACTACGTTCATCGACAGGATCCACGCGCCCCATTTCCGACCGTGTACGAGATCGATTGGCAGGAGGTGCCGGGGATGAAGACGATTCAAGTCTTTCACCTGAAGATACTGTGGACCGTTTCGGTTCTCGTGTGCGTCGATGCAGCTGAAGTAAATGCTTGAGATTCAACAAAACCGACGATGAAGATGAGGTGGTGGTGGTCGTATTGGTGGAACCTATCAAAGCCGGTTGTGTGAAGTAACGGAACACACATCGTCGTGAGTGTTTCGCGGGTACTGCAACAACAGTTGTGCTGGTAGCGGTGGTGGCATTTGGTCGCAAGCGAAGTGCACGCTTACGACAATAGGAGCACAGATATCGGGCAAGCATATACGGCGGAAACACGGCGAACNGGGATCGACCCTAGGCAGTATACTATGAAGACGAAATTGTGGCGGCGGTGCGGGCACATCGCTGTAGGATCGTCGTGCATTCGGATGCCGTGAGCCCAGATCACCTTCGGTGACTGAGACGGAAACAGGGTGAGTGCTGGTTTCGAATTTTTCCCTGCCCGCAAAGTCGTTGGGTAGATAATCGTGACTCTTTGAATGTTTACGGTGAAACAACCTGGAAAAAATGTAAGAAGAAATATCATAATCGGAGGTAGCAAAACGAGATAACAAACAGTTTGTTGAGTGATTTTCCTTAATGCTTTAATGATTGTTGTTCAACCTCAAATCGGATCACAGAACACCGCGTGCTAAAAGCCTAACTTCAACAATCAGCCAGTATAAACCGGATTGCGGAGGTTATTTTTTGTAGAGTAACTATAAAACAATACCAGTAATAAGCCCCATAGCATGTACCCGATCAATAGTGGCCAAATCCGAAAGAGAAGGGCATAATATAACGAGCATAACTCGCTACCACACCCGTGTATTTGGAGTTCGAAAGCGCACGATCCCCTAATAATATGAACGCAGGATGAAATTCGCTGTATATGATGAGTTTTAAACACCCGGGCCGCTTTGACTAATAATAAATCCGCAAGACTATACGAAAACGCGTGTTGCAGCATAAATACAAAAGGAAAAATTTACTCAGGCATCACTTTCTCTCCGGCGACTGTGAATACTCGGACCAATCACCCTGCAGCACAAATAGCGCCTTCGATTAACTGGCTGACTTTTTCGGTTCAGTTTTATTGATTCGCGCGTCGGACAGGCACACACTTGCCCTTTTTAAGATCCAATCAGCAGCCCTCACAATTAAGACGAGCAGTGATCAAGAGTGCAATCAATTTTAGAAAGATCAGAATTAGGACGCGGGTGCAATCTGCCTTCAATGAAACAACAAAATTCTGCTCCGGGACGATGAGTTGATAGACTGTGCCCCAGCCAGTACGTTGGCTCCCAATATCGGGACAGACATGCGTACGTAGGTGTTTTACCTGGCATAGTTTCCTCCCTGTTAATCTATAGTACCGGATTGGACCTATCTCTTCTCCAAACAGCTCTCTCACGCTGTATAGGCAACAACGACAAGCGGATGATTGAGCTTCAATTCTAACATATAATGTGTCTGTTTTTAGCGACGTCATATGGGTAGCGGTTATTTACAGGGTGTTGATGCCTTCTGAAATGCCTGAATCATCAGACTGCACGCATGCATAAGATCGGCTGTCTAACTCTATTCCTATTAAACTATACAAGGTGATAGGGAAAGCAATGTTTACACCGAAAACCGCAAAGGCATCGGGAAGAGAAATCGCGTACCAATGTAGTGGCTTCGCACGACCACACCCCAACGCCCCATTCATCGTCAGATGTCGTTTGTTTGACCGACCTGTGGAAAACAAACCTGCTGTGTCCGACAGAGTATCGCCAGCGGTTACACGAGCGGAGTCGACTGATGGTGCCTCCCACTGGCCACCGGTCGATGTGCATACGTCTCGATCTGGTCCTACGTCTTCCCACGAGTGCACACCGTGTTCGAGACGACCACCGCCATCCCCAGCAGGACTCGTTTGGAATGGAGGGGGGTGTCGGGATCGATGATGCCGATGTGGGTGATGATTTGAGTATAACTCAGCGCCCAACTCGAGTACAAGGCTTGCATCTGAAGACAGGGAACGGGTTTGAAGCACGGAGCACATGCAGACTCGATACTGACGGCAACGATGTCGGTATACCCGATAATCTTTCCGTTCCAAGACTTCACGGGACTTGGGATTACAAGCACAACGAGATGGAGCACTCGCATGTCGCAAGCCAGCACTCGGACCAACTGTCTTAGATGGGCTAGGTTCTAGCCGAGAAGCCAGATCGGAAAGTAGGACGCGAGATGCTCCAGAGGTGGGCCAAGCAGAGCTGGTTTCGGGATCTGAGATGAAGCGACGAGAGAAAAACAAAAACTCGAAAAAGTGCGAAGGTAACAATGCAGTTGCGTGAAATTACGCACCAGATTTTAAGTAAACAAACAAAAGAACAGTTTATTTGAATACAAAAACCGACAGGAACTAAAATATAAAGATGAGCTCGGTCACTGATTCCAAGATCCCAGTTCGTAAAGGACATAAGTTTATCGCGTATTGTCAACAGTGATCGAGTGCCTTGGACAGCACCTAGAAGTAGTAGGGCGTTGGAACGAACATAATTCAACTTTTCTAAACAGAGAGCATAACATGCATTAAAGAAAGACTGTCGGATTTCTAACGGATTGATTGCTACACTGGATATTAGTAAAACAGTGAAGTTAGGAGAGAAAGGACCACTAGTTAAACGATCAACCGAATTTCCACCATTATATTGCTTCTTAATCACTAACCGTAGTTCCATATATACATGCAAAATGACCACACTTTACGGTTCGGTATGTGCCGAGGCGTACGTTACTCGCTACCCCCCTCTCTCTCGCTGCACTGAATCTGACAGAAACAGGTAGGCAGAGAGGCAAACAAGAATGCATTATACAGAGTGAGACGGAGGGAGCTAAACGAAGTACCAAGCGGGATTGGAAAGACGTGTGAACGTTTCACAAGTCTGCATTCCAGGCATACCACAAAACGATGGCACGATACAGGCACCCGAGAACGTTAATCGGTGCATTCGAGAACTGCGGTTGTGGGTGTACACACATGCACACAAGCACGGGACATATCGGTTCCATGTTCAAGTAACTGAACGAAACCAATCAGAGCCGAACTCGATAACCGGATGAACCGTTGCCCGTAAGCCGTTGACATCGATAGCCCTAATATTTGAATGGTCCGCAGGGGAGTGCACTA